AGTACAGGTAATTAGCGTGGCTTTGGTGTGGAAGTTTGCACCGTGTTTTGTTCCTTCCCACTCCGGCTAGACTCTTCAACCTCTAAATTTTCCACCGTTTTCAGCTTAATTTATATCGTTCCCTAACCACCCAGTCGCCGAGAAAAATGCGCGTTGAATACGCGCGGCAATAAAGCAGAACGAGCCGAAAAAAAAAGAAACCGACGAAAACCTCGGCGAACAGATTCGAGAGAAATAAACGCAAAGAAGCTCACGCGAACGGTGGAAAATTTTGTAATAAAGCGACTTTACGAGTCGCTGCGCACGTTGCTGTTTCGGATTAAAATTTCTAGTTGCGTGTGCCGGTTTCCCCTTCAGACTTTAATGAGATACGGGATAACATTATCCTGCACACCGGCTGTTGTTCGCAAATTAAGTTCAAGCAATGGATCACGAACGCTCGTTTCTCCTCCTTGTTTGCTTCATCGTGCACCTACGTGGGTCATTTGGTTGGTATTAATGAGGATATCTTGTTTTGGATAATAAAAAAAATTCATTTCATGCTAGGGGGATTATAGATACAACTTGTATACAGGATGTTTCTTTATAGATGGGCATCATTTTAGGATATACTTTTACATGGCGAAACTTTTGTTATGATTTTCCTCTACATCTCGCTCCCACTCAATATATTTATTTTTCTATTTGTATACTTGTTTTGTAATTCCCAAAAGAGAGCCTACGTCAAATTTGATAAGTTGAAAGTATCATTAAAATTAAGCCTGATTTAAACCTCTATTGCATCATCAGTGGATCGCATAGAATAATCAAGGAATAATTTCTTCGTCCAAAGATAAATTAAAATACATGCAACAGCAACCGAGTAACACGTGTGGGCATTTATCACTGTAAGCTAAAGCAATTCGGTATATCCGGAAGAGAGCTTCCTGCATTCCATCATCATGACTCGACGAAATCTGTTGTGCTTTATCGCGTGCCGTTTCGCGCGGATAAAACGGTCAATCGAAAGTCCGATGCGCGCTCTGTCAGCAAACAATGCGCAACAAATTGCGCCAACAATCCGTAAGTTGAACGTATATGTCAGGTTTTCCGCATACGAAATGTTTTTCCAAAGTTCCGACTTCACTGTACGGTAACGTAAACAGAATGATGAATGATTGTCGATTGTTATACATCAAGAGGCAGGAGTATCTCATGATATGTGTGCGCCAGTTTTGAAAAGAATTTCGAATTCGTCGCAAACATTTATGGAAAGGATCAAACTGTCAACAGTGGAAAACGAATTGACCGGCATTTAAAAGGGCGTGCGAACGTAATTTTTTCGCACACTTCACGAGATGAGACTGTAATAGTTTCAAGACCATCGCTTCTCTGCAGTGCCTTCGTTCGAAAGAAACTGCTTTTTACGCGGTATATCTGAATCAGCACAGTGGCGAATGCAGTGCTTTACCCCAGCTCTAAAAAACAACTCTCCAGCGCTGATATAAAAAACGATGATTAAAAAGAGACGCGTTTTACGAGGGCCTGGTTCAAATTGTAAATATATACTCGAGTACACACACCGTCTTCGTGTACGTGTAAGCGCACGTATTTATATGTACGCTGTGTATCTTACGCGATGAGAGATACTCGCGTTAATGCGCGTATGGAAAGTTTTTTAGCGGACGAAGTGGTTTTCTTTCGTATCCGGATGTAAATTAACATCGGGCCAGCTTTTGACGTTCGCCGCTCTTCATTTTCTTTTTCCTACCGTGCGGCGAATCAGTATAACGAGGTTTCCACCTGCGAGCCCCGTTTTCATTCGCTAAGTACTCCCCGCAAGCTCGTTACCGAATGATACAAGATAATAAATAATTAAAAACAGACACTATCGGGCTCGGGCGTTCATTATCTTCGTCGAATACGATAGCCTCGCCAAAATATGGGGGGCGGCGCGGATTGATTTACGCAACAATTATTTCGAATATTTCACCACGTCGATAATTGATACTCGAATATTCAGATTTATGCGAATAACTAACAAACTTCGATGTATTAATCAACGAAATTTAATTTATATTTCTACATAATAGAACGTGAGCGCGATGCTCTGCAGCGAGAACATAAATACCTTATTTCGGCAAGGTTGATTCGATTGGACGCACACCTGAAATAAATATACGTATCGCAGCACCGTTCTCTTGAAATAAAATAATACACAGAATTATCAATCACGTTGCGAGGCATTTCCTTAAACTTATATTTTTATTCAGGAGCATCCGTGGTTCCTTATTTTGATAAATTCATGCACCGGCACGTTAATTAATTTTTATATCGGTTAGAAAGAAAACAGGATCCCATTCAAAGAGTAAAAAAAAATAACTATTCCATATTTCTATAATTTCGAAACTAAATCTTTGCAAATCAACCTTAGTATTTTGATTTTCCTCTCCGCATGACTGGAATTCGTTGATAAAGCACGCAATAGTGGAAATTCGTTATACTCCGTCACACGATCAATAACACGGTCAGCCTGCAATTTTCCGATCGAGGTTGTTCCAGCCGAATTCGCAATTAACGATGCTGTCGTCTTTTTCTCGGCGTCTATCCACAAGCTAGGGGGTGAACAAGTCGTTTTTCGGGGGATGGTGTAAATATCCTAAATCACGGAACTTTCTCACGGTTTCCACGGCTCCCCGTCTCTTCCTACGGGTTTTTATTCGTCTCCCGTTCGCAACCACGCGAGGGAAGTCGCCTCTCAAAGGCAGATAATAAACTCGAAACAATACGACAAGCGACGTGCCTGCACGACACGAACATGCTTTCAGCTTTAAAGCGTGATACCGCCGAGTCGCCGCTCGCCCCGCCGCCGGGGAAACTATTTCATAACTGGGTCGAGCAAGTAGGTGGACCATGGGTACATGCTGGATGCCGGATAAAAGGGTGCGCCGTGGAAAAAAAGACGGTCCACGTAAAACGGCTTCCCGGTTTCTCTCTGCTTCCTTTCATACCACGGCGAAATGGGGATTACGTGTCGAGTATTCGTTAACAATTTCGGCACTAGTTTCGCCAGAAATTGTACATATTTTCTTCCCAATGGATGTCGTTGCTCCTTCAATTATCCAGAATTCGATTTTCTGACGGAGACTAATGAGATGATTCAAGTTTAATGGGTACAAAATGTTTGACCTTACGCAGAGATCGTTTGAATGAATTAGCTAGATGAATTTATAATAATACTGTATTCGAGAGGATCTTAAAATATCACACTTCCACGGTTTCTGTAATTCTCGTTCATCTAATTATCAAATTTGAATAATCTCCAACCGGTGGGACACGTGTATACCCTTTCGGGTACACGCTGAGTTAACTACCCCTAATTGACATTCAACCAACGTCCGCTGTAAATTGTATATATACATATTTCAATCCTAAACGCGCAGCTTCCGAACTTTGCTCGGTCGGGTCTTTAATGCGAATTCACCTTGATGATACAATGCTATTCAAATGCCGACGACGGAAGCAAAGGACGGGGAAACGATGAAGGGGTGGTTACCTATGGAACAGATGCTCCCTTGTTGCGGGAGAAACAATGAAGCCGCTCGACAAAAGCGGCAACAAACTCAACAACTCACGGCGTCATGATGCCGCCATGTCCAACAGATGAGGAATACCGATAAGAGACGATTTGTTGTGGGAAGCGCTTGCTCCACGGCTTTTATAGCGCGACGACAATGGCTGAAAGGCGCCCTTACTACGCCTTGCGTTTCGCATGACAGAGAATGCCAGTAACTTTCGCGCGTTTGATTTTATCCGAGTGGAAAATTGAAGACACATTCTGATACTCTTGTTTTACTCTGCAGACAAAAAAAGGAGGAAATACGGGGTAGATATAGCAAACGTTGGGTAGATGAACTTGTTCTTCCTAATTTATCCTACTCTTATTCTTAAAATTTTAGTCTTTTTGCAATTACCACAAGCATTCCTACGTTCAAGATGAGATTAATTTTTGTATATCTGTTATGGTATTAACTTCGAGTTGATATTTATGAATACTGTCTCTGACGAGATAGGGCCTCAAGTGTCTCTCACCACTCAGTTGTTTACCAAAATACTTTCCTGCTTACTTTAGACAGAACTTTACCGACACAAAGTTTGTACCATCAATTTACAGACACGTATTAATGTAGGGAACCGAAAGCACAGGAATTCATGCGAATTTTTCACGACGTTATGAATAATTGAGTTTGAAACTCCTATTTTGAACGGAATCGAGTCGAAAGGGTGATTCTGAAAAAGGGAGCCGCAACAGCAGCGTCTCTTTTTATACGCAAATAAAAGTTTTGTCTGCCTGCGCGTTCTGCGCCATCCATGTAAACGACCTACTTTGATTTTGGTTGCTCGTCGCACATATGGAGGAGCGCTCGGCTGCGTTGCCCTCGTAAATTCCAAAAGTTCTCCCGAGTATCCTGCTAGCTAACCTTCTTCGATTCTTTAACAATATGACCCTGGCATATTGCAAAAGTACTAGGAACTTCTTAAAGTGCTTCTCGGGATATCATAATCGTTCTTTCGAACTATGGCCCGAGATTGCGATGAAGCATTCCGAACGGAAGGAAAAGGCTGGTACCGTTGTTTCCTGCATTCTTAAATCACGCCAGGCTCTGATTAATATTTTCCTCTAGAAATAACTATTTCATCAAGAATTTTTAGCTATTGTACAAGGAATTTAATTTTTTAGGAAGGAATAAATTTTAATATGATACTAGTAATCTGTATTGCCTGGCACGACCAACGTGGCAGGCTCATTTTATATTACAAGAAGGAGCAATTAAATTCCAAAATGATTTCTGTCAACAGCAAAATAATCAAGGAATTTACACACTACGACTTTTATCAACTAATATGAGTTATAACAGAGCCCCATAGAGTTGACCAATACTTGGACGTTGACCAAACCAAGAGTCTAACAGTTACGTATCGAAGCGCGATAAATAACGTGATAAATATGAGAATACTACCTTCTTTTGCCTGCACGAAGCCGTGAACCTCGCAGTAACTTCCGGCGGATCCTGCGGCGCCAGGCGTGTCCAAAGTGAAAAGAGTGTTTGCAGAGGAGCTGACGCCATCGTCGGGAGTCTGGAGCAGACTGGTGGCCTGCGACAGCGTGCGTTGCTGATGGTGCGGGTGATGGTGAAGGTGATGGTGCTGCTGCTGTTGCTGCTGCAGCTGCTGTTGCTGTTGCTGCTGCTGCTGCTGCTGTTGCTGCTGGGCAGCGAGAATCTCCTCGTGCCGGCACTTGGAGCACCGACGCATCTCCGAGCGAACACGCAGCAGCCAGACCATGCCGAACAGTGCCATAGCAATCTCGAGACCCGGTGACCTCGATGGGTGCTTCATGCTCGCTGAATCAAGGTCATCGAGGCTCCAGGAGCCAACGCGACGCATAGCACTAGAGATCTCTGCGAACAATGTTCCGTTCCCTCTTAAATGGCTAGCACTCCCCGATTGTTCACATCTATTCTTCGTATCTGCGTCGCTTCTAGCTAGCTTCTGTCGACGATGAAAGCCTTGGTATGAATTCGGATCGAATGAATTCTTCTGGATAGAAATTGTCTCGAGTTACAAACGTTTGGGTGCCTAACTACGTTTTGATAATTTTGTTTTTTTTTTTTTTTTAATTTTGGCTAGTTTGTTCCCTTAGTTATTGGCGTTCCAAATGTTTCATCCTCGCGAGTAGTTTGCTTCCCACGTTGCTTTTATTATTCCAAGTATTCATTGCACCTAGTTTGCCTTTCCTTTTCTTTCCACTCAAGCACTGCTATCAAGCTTCTTATTTTCAATTCTTCGCATTTTCTTTCCATCGGACAACGTTTATCCCAAGGATTCCACTTTTCGAAGTCGAGCCCGGGCGATCGGTTGAAACGAATCGGGAAGCAATTTTTAACCCACGGACACTTCCCGCTGCGTAAAGATTTCTCTTCTTTCTAATGGAACCTATCTTCCATAAATTCTTCGTCACTTCACCTCCATTCCTCTTCGTACCCCCCAAGTATCGAAGTAATCCTACTTCACCTTCGGCCCAGAGTGCTGGCGAGACCGTCCCATCGATTCGATCCCTAGGTGCTCCCGTCGAACGGCGCGAATTTGTCCAGCAAGATCCTCTTCGTCGAATCCTTTTTTCGGTCTCCACATTTTTCACCGAAGCTCGTCGAAATTCGGTGTCGGGCCCGGGATCCTCGAAGAATATCGTCCAACCATCGACAAACGCTGTTCCAACCGCCAGATATCACAGAGAACGATGCAAGGAGGCACCCGTATCTCCGGGCGATGCAAAATTACCAAAATTGCGCGTGAAAGGCACGATTGCAGGGAGGAAAATCAACGATCGGGTCTCGGTGCCGTTCGTTGTCAACTTCGAACGTCCCTGGGCAGAAGAGAGCTCTCGAGTCGGAGGGCAATGTGGCTAACGACCAATGAAACCACGATTGCGTTCGGAAACTTCGGCGGGAAACTCGGGCCGCGGGAAACGATTACGGCTAACGAAGCCAGGGCTCATGGACAGTTGGGTGACACTTGGTCCTGGAACGGCCACGGTTCGCTTATAAAAGTAGAAAAGATTCGTTGGAGGTTGGCGCGGGTCGTAACACTTCCGAGGAACTTTTCAGCGAGCCGGCGGCGGAGAGGTATCGTTCCACGGTTACCGAAGTTTCCCGTCTGCCCCGTTGCCCTGGAAGTTGGAACGAGCTGGACTCCGCGCCACTCGAGCCTTCCAGCCGTTTCAGCCCCTGCGTCTGTTTTCACTCGACGATTCTCCGTGGCCCATCGAGCTGCGCGAGGCTGACGTCTCGCCGAAGTAACGCTGGTACGAGTACCCTCTCCCATCGAGACGGCACTTCCGGCCACCGTGTATCTCACTCGATACGCATGAGTGGGACTCCGATATCTCCGGTGGTGGACAAGCCCCGGCTAGCCGATAGCACGACGATAACACGGCGGTTTCACCGACTACGCGAGCCAGACGAGACTTCTTGGAAGAGGTTTTGTCCCACGAAGAACCCAGTGGCCGGGAACGGCTCGATAAGCGTACCCTGGACTCCTTTTATCCGGACAACGTCGCCCTCGATCCGCTCGTTTTTTCGATGAATTCTATTACCGAGATTTCGGCTCGTCCCTTTCTTACGCTGGCCTGGAAAAGTCACGGATGACATCGGGCATGGCCGACATTCCAGCTAAAGGAAACACACTCGAGTGAACTCGACGTTTTTCCTTTTTTTTTAGGTGAATGCTAGTGGAGAGGGGGATTTTTCGTTCGTCCGACCCGGCGTGTGTTACGTCCGACGATCTCGAGTTTAACGCGGTGACTGCACAGGGTTTCGGACTTTACGTTTACGCCACAGCGAAGTTGGCATCACGGTCCATTTGAAGTGTTAGGAAGTATTTATGGAATTTAGAAAACTCAGAATTTCTCTAACTAAATTACATTCTCGGAAACGTATACAAACACGAGTTTACTCGTGACTGGTCAATAATGTGTTAATAAGAAGCTTGATTAATGAATGATATTTTTTCAATAAATTTTTATAGAAAATAATTTAGCGCCAGCGTAGACTTCTACACAGCATCTTTAATTTTTGCCAACAAATATTAACCAGAACTTAGGCGCAAACTTTCGTAACTGTTTTCGTCGAACATCACTGTTCCTAGACGTTAAATCTGCGTTAGCGTTGAAACACGGGCAAATTGAATTAAGTAGTAAATTATTTCACGCGCATTCCGCGCGGTAAGGAAAACGAACATGGTTAAACGCGACGTCTGGAATTCAAAACAGACCAGTAACAGAATTTCACGGATCGACTTCGGCGAAGAGCGTCCCCGAGAGAGGGGTTGCAAATTGCGACGTAGAGCGTAGTGGAAAACACTTGTGTGTTCTTCGAGTACTGACTGCTGGCACTTCTCGTCACTCCAAGGCACAAGATGCTTGTATCTGTCACGTACACGTGACAATTAAAACTCAAATATCGCAGTGCGAAGGGTTATTCGTTAAAGAGGATTCTGGGTTTGCAAAGTTTGTATACGCTATATTAAAATAAAGTGAATTGCTGAGACAAGTCACTTTCTTAAGCCATTCTAGACATTGTTAAATTAGACTGTAGTAACACTAGATTTACGTAGCACAGCCATTTTGAACCATACCGAATTTCGAAAAAAGAAAATAATGTAACGAAAAGATCAACCAGGCCTTTCCAGCATGCAATTATCAGCAGTAGAGTCAACTACACCGGCTGTTCGTTTCGTCAGCAACGATTCTCAACAATCGTGTGATCGTGCGTCGTTGAAATCGAATTGTACATCGCGTTGGCAGATGATTCCTAGGCCCCTAAAGTCCATTCACGACCCAGATGCATTATTTTGCGTTCGTACCGCTGCGATTTACTGCACCGCCGTGACGCGTACAGGCAGGCGCATTATTTCCACGCCGTTATTATCGCATTTGTTCCCGGTTTATTTATCCGTGTACGATGTTTTTGACGGAGTCACAAACAAAGGCAAACGAATTAAACGCTCGTGAAGGACGTTGGCTGAATTTCAGCTGACCGGCGTATCCCCGTTCTTTGACGATAAATTATTTCTTTGATTGATCTCGTGTTGGGAAAATGGTCTATAAACGCTCTGCAATCGACTTTTTCCCGCACACGTGATATTTCAAGAGCTATTTCATATTTTATGTTAGGAAATTACTTAATTCCGCCATGTGTTCGAACGTTTCACGTTGAAACATTTTATCATTCGCATTTTACATTTCTCATTAAATTTCTAATTTGTGTAGCGGTTATAATTGCGCGATTAACTTTTGCGTTACCTATTAAAGAGTTGAAACGTGCATGGTGGAATGTTTGAACATCCGCCGGTATAAAATAATTCCCCGGCTAATAGTATGAAATATTTCGTAAAATACTACGTTTTGAATGGTCATACTTTCATACCTACCCATACATGTTTTGAAAAATTGTTCAATAAATTCTGTTGAAATTGAAATGAAACTTTTACGAAAGAAGTTATCGCGTTACAAGTTTCAATGAGAACAGATAAATGAAAGTTGTAGAAAATAGAAATGCTACTTTGGTCAAGATTGAAATGAAAATAAAGGATTCTGCGTAGAAGGACCATCTTTTGAAAGTCCTAATGGATCGTTTTACCTTTAAAGAATAATTCCGTTTACAAAACTATTGCTTACAATGTACTGCAAAAATGGAGTTTTATTTATTTTATGAAACTTTTCCTAATAAAAGTTCTGGAATAACTGTTTCCATGGGACTTTTCCTATAAGAGTTTCACAGTATCTGTTCCACGAGAACAATTTTTACAAAAGTTCTTAAGGTAAAAGTTCTTCTCCGTACAAGTGCCACAAGGACAGATATTTTTTTAAGAGAAAGAATAAGTTCGATCAGACTTTAAGAAAAATAAAAGTGAAACGCCTTCTTCGATCTCTCGAAGTAAGCTCACTGATCAGCTACTTGATTGCGAAAATGATAAGTAGTTGGTGTAACAATATTGTTGCAATACAAATTAAATTTAATTTAGTTCAAATAAAAATAAAGGTTTTTTTTTATTTCCTTTAAAAGTAATTACTATAATTCCCAGCCATTTTCAAGAGAACATTTCCCTGAACAATTCTCATCTAAATGTAGCTCCAGCGTGATTCTCGCGCGAATTCCAACGTAAATAAATAATTCAATATAAAGGCGATGGCTGGAGACATTTTGAACACAATTAAACACGACGGAAGGTTCGTTCAGCGAGTGCGTTGTTTCGCATAATCGTAGGACGCGAAACCCTGGCATGGGTTATACGAGCGGAATTTATTTTGATTTCGCGCGACGCAAAGTATCCGGCGACTTCGTCCGCGATGCATGAAAATACACATTTTCGTTCGTTGGTACGTTCGTTCGTGCGAGAAATTTATTCGGTCCGCGTTATTTAAAAACGCGACTCAACGGCACGGAATGGCACGGTTCTCGCACCTGTCACTCCTAGAGATAAAATAAAACGAAGAAAAAAAAAACGATATTAAAATATTATCGCGGATTCGCATTCGTGGCATCGTATATTCGCGAGCGAAATGCTCGAAGTTGCGACGTACAATAGCGAAAAAAAAGTATGGAATATTGAAATACATCGAGCAAATGTCGCGTGCGATCGTCGAAAGAAACCTGAGAATTTATTGGATTTAAGTGCTGTATTGCTCCCATTCTTATTTCTTCAGATACTATTGCTGATTTAAGTACTTCTCTATGTGATGTACAAAGTCTTTACTGCACAAATCGATTAACTTCACCTTTTGAAAAATTTTATTCAATGATAATATATTTTGAGTCATAAATATATTATCACTCATATGATAATATATTTTTGAGTAAAGAAAATATCATAAGAGGATACAAATGCATATTTCATTCAGCTTCTTTAACTACCATTAACCCGTACAATTTTCCATTAAAGAAAATACCAAAACAATTCCATTCATTTCGTTATTGGTAACGCGAGAATTTTCACCTTAAAAGTCCCCATTTGAATCCAACCTACTGAAAAGGTTCCACAATAGTTTCAACTCCTATACAAAATACTATTCAAGTTGCACAATTTCGGCGCCCGCTCCCCTAACAATCGCAGAGCGTGCTGTCGCAACGGCGATTTTTGTTTCCCATGGTAAAAGTTGTCCTGATCGAGCGATGAAAATGTTGAACGTGCCGCGAAAGTATCGAAAACGAAACGGGACCGAAGGGGCAAAGGGAATTGAAGGGACGCTTTACACGCGCTACCATTTTTCGCGACACGCAATCGCGGTGACGGTCGAAATCGCGCGCAACTGGGAAACCGACACGAATCGTTCCCTGTCAAAAAATAGCCGCTCTCCGTGCTGGGGACCACTAATAGCCGCGTTCCATTCACAATTTTTATTTATCTCGGTGCACGCATCGATCGGCAGGAATTAATACTTCTACTGTGTCGTTGACGCAACACCACACCGTTACGCCGTGTAAACTCGTTGCTGGCAATCGTTCCAAATCCGCCAAACTTATTTCCTACCCAGTGTCGGTTGTAGGAAGAATGTAGGTTGCGTCAGTGAGCGTCGTCGCCGTGTTTTCCAGATTCTGAAGTAGTCGGAACAACGAGAATTTTTCCATCTTTCATCTTTTTTTCTATAGAATGAAAATTTCCATCGTTCGAACGTGATGATTGGTTTTCTACGTGCGTCTGACAATGTCGTGACATAAATTTTGCAGACAGAGCGTTCGCCAACTGTAACGCGCCCGACACGAATCTCCAGCACTAAATTAGACGCAGAATACAAGGGCAATTTGGAATTTCGCCTATGAGCTCGCGGAACAGTTAGCACGTATTTGTGCTACGCGCTCATGAACCTGGCGAAAAAGTTTGAATAAACATAGTTGCGGAACTACATCAAATGCGTTTGACCGATGTGCACGTAGATTGTGCGTTTGAGAGGGCTCGTTATATATCCGCGTAAGGGTGTACGGTAGACGATGTTTTTAGGGAGTCAAACAGATAAGTGACTGCGCATTAATGCTTGAGGGGCGGTAGGGACGCTATTATAATAGAATTTTAGTGAGAAGAAAAAAGATCGGAAGGCACGGGAATCGGCTCGCTTCGATTCACCAGACAAACATCAGCAGCCGTTACCGGCCGCTATCGGTTTAATTGGTTTTCTGTACGATCACCAGGCCCCGATCGTCAAATTAATTGGTTCGATTCAGGCGGTATTAGCACAGGTAAATCCCCGTCGAATAACCGCAAATGAATATCGATAGATTTGTTTACCAGATTTCCACGGCGGCGAGCCCCAGACCGTTTATAGGGAAAGTATTATAAGCTGACGAGTAGTGATGGGTTCGAGTGCCATAGAAGTAGCTTATAATAATCGTGCTCTATAATCGCAATCAAT